TAAAGACCCTGCAGCACCTTTCTTGTTGGTTTTGTTTCCCAGGAAAATCCTTCATCAATCCTTTCGTGCTCCAGCTGAATTGGACCAGCCACACTTCCCTGAATGGGTCCCATGCATTCCTGCCTCTCTGCTTTGCCTTTGACAACCTCTTGATCTGGAATCCATCTAAGTCTCACCAGCCCCTCTCCAGTGTCTACATCTTATCTTTCCTTCAAGATCTTTCTACCATGCCTTTCATACATTTTCTCCTGCACCTTTCTACCCCAGCTGGTTCTGATTCCCCATTGAATTTTACCTCTTCCCTCCTCTCTGTATCAGTTTTGGGCTTTGCCATGGTTATTTCTGTACATGTTATATTCCCTCCCTAGTAAATGATGCGCTCCTTGAGGGCTGCAGTATGTTTTCTCATAGAGCATTTTAATTTTTTTATTAAAATTTTAAATCATTATCCATTCTTTCCTCAGAACCAAATGCATGCATACTTATTGCAAAAAAATTAAACATTACAGAAATCCATCTCCTAGAAAGTGAGATCCATCATTATTGCGCCTCTGTCTCTGTCCTAAGAAAACTGGGATTAACAGATTGGAATGCAGTTTTCTAGATTTTTTTTCTTTTCATGTCATAGGCATGCATACTTTTTATTTACAGAAATGGGGTCATACTATACAGACAGCTTTATACTTTCTTTCCACCTAAAATATTTAGTATTTTTTTTATATAGAGATGTAGCTTATTTTTTTTTAAACAGCTGCATAGTATAAGATTGTACGAATGTACCAATGTTTACCTGTTAAATCCCTTGTTAACGATCACGAAAGTAATTTCCAATGTTCACCATTATAAACAATGCTTCAGTGAGTATGTGTGTTTATAGTCCATATACATATAACGTACACATTCCAAATATTCACATACACACTATACGTACCACATCTATCTTCGGATGCTTTTCTGTAGGACATATCCTTGGGCATGAGATTTCTGGGTAAAATGGAACAGAGATTCTAAATAATAAATACTAAAAAAAAAAAAAATGTGGAGGGGAAAGAGTTTTGGTTTGTACCTTTCTATATCCTTCATAAACTTAGTGGCTAAGAGGCAGGCTTTGGCACCAGACTGCGCAAGTTTGTATCTAGGCTTGGTCTCTGTCTCAGTCACCTCACATAAAATGGAGTAATAAGAATAACTTGCTCCCAGGGTTGTAAGACTTAAATGAGATGATACATGTAAAGCAATTAGCATTTAGTAAGTATTTGGCAAATAAGTAAATGCAAGCTATATGGGAGGAAACATAGTAAAAGGTTCAGGTAATTGTTTGTTGAATGGATAGGACTGAATAGAACAATAGTAGATTGAGTAATCTTTCTGGAAATGGATGGTGTTTTGCTCCCAGTAGTAACTATTAATGAAATGACCAGCTGGCATTAGAGGGGCAATGTGTGGCCTTGGAGCAATTTATCTTTGTGTAAAATTAACTGGCCTGAACCAGGATCAGACAATGACTTTGGCCTCTCAGCCCCACACTTTCCCCAACATAACTAACTGGCCCCAGCTGCAGCCTGGCACCTTATAAAATGGGTATCTCTGAGGACAGCGAACAGTGCAGTTCCCTGAGGGTGCCCTGGCTCACCACTGAAGGTTAGGGTCATCCAGTCACCCGACCATGAACATGGAACAGTAATAGAAATGCGTAAGTAAATGGCAAGAGTAGACTAAAGGCTTCTGGTTAGATTCTTCGGTTCTGAGCCAGATGTCTCCATCTTCTTGGAAAAGTTTCTATACCAGTGCTAGAAGATTGTGAGGATAGTCAACTGTGGCTTCTAGACTCAGCAATGCCACTAGATAGCTGCAAAAATGTGAGCAAATTGTTGATACAGTAAGAGGACTTAAACCGCTGATGTGGAAGGCCCTTTTTTGAACACTCTTTCCCCATAGGCAATCACATTTTCTGACATCAGTGCTATTTATTGTACTGAAAAAAAACAAACAAGAAAAAACCCGAATGCATGAAATCAGGCAATGGGAATATTTTCAAAATGTGTCAGTCATAAGACGGGAAAGGGTGACAGCAGGGTGCAGAATCAATGGACATCTCTGTGCCCACTCCAGGAGGAGGTGGGGGGGTCCTCTGAGGAAACGCCAGGAAATCCAGGGATCAGGGAATGGAATCAGGGCAGACATCGTAGTCTAACTGGGGGCAGGTCCTGGCCAGGGTCAAATGCAGCAGAAAATGAGGCCCCCTAAGAATGAGCATCGTCCAAAGTGCCCTGATGACCCTACTGCCCCAACCTTATATGTTCTTGCCCCCCACCGTTGGAATCAAATTGTACTCCATCTTCTTCTTCTTTTTAATCTTTATTGTTGAAGGTATTACATAAGTTCCCCTTGCCCCCTTGACCTCTCCCAGCCCCCCCCCCCCCCACCTCTGCCCCAGGCCTTCGCCACTGTATTGCCTGCGTCCATGTGTTATGCATATATACATACAAGCTTTTTGGTTGATCTCTTCCAACCTACCCTCCCCTGTCTTCCCTCTGAGGTTGGACAGTATGTTCTATGCTTCTCTGTCTCTGGATCTATTTTTGTTCATCAGTTTATGTTGTTCATTGGATTCCACATATGAGTGAGATCATGGGATACTTATCTTTCTCTGACTGGCTTATTTCACTTAGCAAAATGCTCTCCGAACCCATCCATGCTGTTGCAAATGGTGAGAGTTCCTTAATTTTTTTTTTTTTTTTACAGCTGTGTAGTATTCCATTGTGTAGATGTACCACAGTTTTTTAATCCACTCATCTGCTGAGGGGCACTTAGGCTGTTCATACTCCATCTTCTTAAGCCCATTTCAAAGCCCACCTCCACTGACTCCCTCCTCCCCCACCACACACAGACATCCTTCTCCTCTAAGGACTGACGGTATTCATTCTCTGCCATCTTATTCCCAGGGCACTTCTGGGAGGGGCACCTGCCTAGGACGGGCTTTGGGAAGAAGAAACGGGGATAAAGCTGGAGCCCGTACTCCAGCTCAGCCCCCTCCTTTCAGGACACCCTTCTACTGGCATTGTATCCTCTTGGGGGGACCCAAGGCCTTGGGCTCCTCTAGCCCCCCTTCTCCCCCCACCCCCCGCAACCAACACAGTAGTGCTCAAATATTTGTGGCTCTGTGATAATGACTCAGGAAGGCCCAACGGGGAGTCGAGTTGTATGGGTTTTAAGAGGAAACATACCATGAAATCTGAGCTTTTACCTCATTGCTCACCCTGGGAACCCTCGGTGCCAGTCAGATTTGTTTGGGGCTGGGTGGAATTTCGTTTCTTTTCACTCTGAAAACCATAATCTGATGTTTAAATTAAAAAAAAAAAAAAAAACTTACACAGCATCTACTTCATTTTCGACAGGTATCTAAACACTACAAATGTTAACTCATTTGCTCTCCATAACGACCCAGATGTATTATAGAAACTGAGGCACCTGGTGGTTAAGCCATTTGCCCAGGGATCAACACTAATGAGCGGCAGCGCTGGGATTCGAACCCAGGGCATCTGGTTCCAGGGAACATACTCTTGAACATGCTATGCTGCCTGACATTTATGAGTAGCGACACAAGAAATGGACGTTGATGTATTTATTTCAAAGGAAATGTGGTGTGTTTTTTTCTCTTTCTTTCTTGTGTTCCCCTTTCCTTCCTCATTCAGAGCAAAATGTTCTAACTCGAACAGCCTCTTTTCACACCTGAGAGAGCCTGGGTGGCTCATTTTTGCTTTGGCAATCAAAATGGAAGAGGAAGCGCGTGTGGTTTCATCACTGTGCTTTCGGGGTGTGTGTGCTGTGCCTCATCCTGTCTCCCTCCCGGCTCATCTGGCTCGGGCCCCCTGTCCCCAGGCTGGGTTGCCTCGGGGCCTGGAGACTTTGGAGGTGCCTGCCTTCTTTCCCCTGCCATCCTGGGCTGTGGGCCAGCCCTCCTCGATCCCGCAGATCCAGCCCTGGTCCCAGAGCCCCGGGGATCTCCTTTTGCCCTCCTCTCCCTGGAAGCCAGGTAGGAGGACTTCGACTGGAGGAGCTACCTTTGCTTGGGAATTCCGAGAAACCGCGTCTCCCTGAGCCTCCATCCCTGGGTGCATCCACGCATCTCCGTTTGGGATGCGGATCGCCTGGCTTTTGGTGTCTCTCATTGTCTGCTCCTCACGTGGGAGGCCGGCGCCAGAACCTGACGGACCTGCCGTGGATGGAGTGTGGGACCCAGGGCGCGTTACTCCACTCCGCCGCCGCCGCCGCCGCCGCCGCCGAGTCTCGGTTTCCTCATCGGGATGGGGATGGGGATGGGGATGGGGATGGGATGGCTCCCCATCGGGCTGCTGTGTGTGTGTCCGTGAGAGAACGCAGAGGCTGCTGCGGCTGCCGGTAGTTCTGGGAGGTCCCCCTGGGCGATATTCACTCAACGCACCCTCGCCCGTTTCCCATTCTCCCCCGGCCCCCCCAAAACAGCCTCTGAGCGCAGGAAGGGGGTGTCTTCGCGCCCCACTCTGAACGCGTCCCTGAACCTCCCGTTAGGACGGCAGCCCTCTCCCCCCACCCCCCTACGGTCGATTCCGGCAATTTGATGACAATCGGGGGGACCTCCGCTGCGTCTGTCCACCCTAACCCTACCCCTGACCCAGCGGCCCCAGGAAGGCCGGGCGCCCGGGGCTGAAGACGCAGGGTGGGGCCTCGGGAAGCAGCAATGGAGATAAGGGGGGCCCGCCTCCTTCCTTCGAGGATGCCCTCCGCTCGGGGCCCCCTTCCCCGCTCCGGACACCTGCTGCCCGGGGCCGGGAGCGCGGCGCAGGGCCTCCCTCCGCGCCGGGGCCAGTGCCACCTGCACGGCCGCGGGCGCTGGGCGCGGGGTCAGGCCGCCTCCCGCGCGCCCCGCCTCCTCCGCGCAGCCCGCCGCGCCCGGCCGCGCCCCCAGCCTCCCAGCCACCCCGCGGCGCCCCGGCACCCCTCTCCTCCCCCGGCGGGCCCGGCGGAGCATTGTACTCACATCCGGGGCTGGGTTTTGCTTTCATGCGAAACGTAATTAACCCGGAAAAAAGAGCCGAGAGACAAGAGAGAAGGAGGGGGCGGGGCGGCGGGGGGACCGGAGCCAGAGGAGCGGGAGGCACCACCGGGAGTTTGGCCGCGAGAGAAAGAAACCCCCGAGAGCGCCGGCCCCGCGGCCGGAGGGGCGCGCCGCACCCCGATGTGACCCCGCACCCTGCCCGAGCCCGGCCCCTGCGCGGCGGGTAAGTGGGTGCCCGCGGGCCGGGAGCGGAGGGCGCAGAGGGGCGCGCGGGCTGGGGGTCGGGGGGAGCCGGGGGGGGGGCGGCCCTGGGGCCGTCGGCCCAGGGGGAGGTCGCCGCAGCCCCGGGGCTGGGAGAGCCCGGAGGCAGCCCCTCCTCCCGGCCCCGGGCCGCCCGGGGTGGCCGAGGGGTGGCCGAGGTCGCGCCGTCCGGGGTCGGGGCGGGGGTGGGGCCGGGAGGGCGGGGCGGGCGCTGTGCTGAGCTGCGTGTTCTCACGTTTGCAGCGGCGGAACTCGGTGCGGGTTCTGGCGCTGGGGCCGCGGACCCGCCACTGCAGCGCGAGCTGCGGGTGGGGCAGGAGAGCAGAGACCATCCAGGCAAGTCCCTTGGGCACGGATGGGGCCGTGGAGACAGACCCATCTCTCTCTTTCTCTGTCACCTTAGCGCAGGACAGGCCTAGTGTGCTTCCGTGGGGGGATCCCCTCCTTTCCCCTGGGTCCAGCCCGGGCCCCGGCCTTCGGGAACTCCAGGCTAGTGGGGGGGTGGGGGGAGGGGGGACACGGACTGGAAGGAAAACTGTCCTCCAGTGCAGACTCGGTGCCAGGTCAGGAAAGCGCTTTGGGGGGATCTCTCTCTCTCTTTCTCTCTCTTTCTCTCTCTCTCTCTCTCTCTCTCTCTCTCTCTCTCTCTCTCTCTCTCTCTCTCTCTCTCACTTCTTCCTCACCTTACTCGCTTCCCTTTTCTGCTGCAGCTCTCCAGTTCTGAAGACTGTTATTTCATCAAATTAAAAAAAAAAAAAAAAGAGGCCGTGTAGGAAGGAAAAGTGTCCAGGCAAGTCCTCCACTTGAGTCTTACGCTTCTCCTCCCTGAGGCCAGCCCAGCCCAGCCCAAGCCCAGCCCAGCCCCCCACCTCCCCAGCCTTTGGGCTTAAAGTTTCCTCCCTTCTAGGTTGAGTGTGGGTTCAAGCTGTGTCTTCCCTTTTTAATTCCTCCCGCCCCTCCTCCTTTCGTTCTTTCTTTCGGGCTCCAAATGGGGCTTTCTGAGGAGGGTAAACAGCAGAGAAGAGGGTGGTGGTGGGGGTGGGGGGGAGGGGGCACGCATTCTACCTGGACGCCAGCTGTGGCTCTTGGAGGCACCTCAGCCCACTGAGTGGTGGTTGCACTTGGGCTGAAGTTCCAGAATTGTACTCGTGTTGTTCTTACTATATCTGACTAAGTCAGTCTCCTGTCTGAAGCTTCATCATTTTCCTTTGTTTGGTGGCAAAGCCTTCAGAAAGAGTCAAGCCGATGAGGTTGAAAGAATAGAAATGTTTGTTTTCCATTTTATTTGGACTCGGTTGACGTATATTGGATAACAAGGACATGAAAGGCAGCGAGAACAAAAAGCAGCCTCTGGCTTTGAGGGAGCTTCCAGTCTAGGAAGCTACACAGATTCCTAGAACACAAAGCTGTGTGCTCAAATAGAGATGCAGAGCGCTTTGAGAAACCAGAGGAGGCTTTTTAAAAAGCATTGTCATCATTTCAGAGACGAACCTCCTTCACTTGAAGGCAGATGACTCTTGTCATAGTGAAAGTCTAGCTTGTTGTCTAGACTCTGTGGCCAGCCCAGGGTATGACATCGACTAGGAGCTGAGGAAATGTTTGTTGAATGAATGAATGAATGAACGAACGACTGTAAGCACATGGGTATTTGCATCTGCCCAAAGGGGAGGAAAAAGAGCAGTGTGGTGGTGCTTCCAGCCTGTGGAAATTCAGCCCATCAAGCTGGTTTACTCCGGATGTTGCCTTTACACTTCTAACACATAGTCTTCAGCCCTCTATGGAAGCCCCACTTTTTATCAAAGTGTGACACACCTCCTGGAGGTCTAGTTGGCTGAGGATGGGAGCCTTGCTCGCTTCAGAGACAGGCGATCGCTTAAGATAGTGACTTGGAAACCACCTACTCTTCGGTGGAGCGTTTGCAAAACCTTCTTTTCCTTTGCTGGTGCTTTCTTCTGCCTTCTGTATAAGGAAGTAGGGCCTACAAACCCCATCATGTCATCGTAGTAAGTTGAGCCATTTTTAGCTCAGTATTTCACCAAGTTTAAAATAAACCCCGAAGACAGGCAGGTTTTGGTTGGTGCCTACCTCTGGAGACAATTCTGCAAAAGTGGGAAGGGAGATGCGTCAGCCCTGAGTGCCGGATCCTCCCGAGCAGCCCCCTGCGGGCTTGCAGGTTGTTGTTGAGGTGCTGGAGCAGGGTCTTTTTTATGCCCTTCATTGCGTTCCTGTCCTCTTCCTGGGGCAGGTGGGCCGTTGGGTAATGCCCCTGTGAAAAGGCCGGAGCGCCTCAAATTAGATCTTGCCGTGGGCCACAGTGCAGTACATGTTTTCTGACTCACTGAAACTCCCGGGCACTATTTATTCTGGCGGATCTAGTCCTAGAGCCCGGAAAAGAGGATCTGGGTGCTGGGACATTGGGTTGCTCTGTCTCTTCCCACCATGAGCAGTGTGGGCTGCCTTACTTTCAGTTTCCCATCTGCCTCAGTGAGCTGGATGGGACTCCGGCAATCTAATCTGTTAGGCTGTGGAAGGGAAGGAAGCAGAGCAAATATTATGGTTTGACAGCCTATGGGGAGAGAAGAATCCTAACCCTGCCCGATGTAAGCCCATCGTTAAGCCTGGGAGTGGGACAGGGAGGGGAGACAGGGCAGCTGAGAGGCGGGAGGGATGGGGTCCCTTCCCGTTCTGAAGGGGCCTGTGCTGAGGGCAGTGGGACATGTCATTGACCTTTATTCCAGATCCTGTGCTACTCAGTTCTCCCCTCCTCTGGCCCCTGCTGTCTGTAAGCTCAGCCAACCTTTTGGGCTTTATAACTTATCTTCTTTCGGGAAGCCCCTTCTCTGCCCGGACCTCCAGCGATTAAAATGACTGGCAGAGGATTAAAGACTGGATCGGGCTCTCTCACCCCGGAGGTCCCCGCTGGTGCAGAAGGAGCTCCTGACACTGACACTGGGCAAAAGGCTTTCAGCTTCGGGCCTGTGGTGTGCTTTTCTGCCCATAGAGGTTGGCCAGCCGAGATAAAGAGGGTGGGAAGCCGAGTCTGCCTGTCCATTAGCTCCTGGGAAACACCGCAGTTAAAGTGCAAAGGCTGGTACTTGCTGTGCTATCAGCTAGGACTCCTAGTTGGCCATCCCCTTGCAAAGTGGCTCTCTGCTGTTGTGATCCTCCCCTGGGCGGAGCAGGAGGCAGCTCCAGCAGCCCTTCCCGGGAGCCAGATTCTGTGAGCCAGAGCTGGTTTCTGTGAACTTTCAGGGAAAGCTGGCCAAGATGGAGTCTTTGGATCTCTTGGATTTTTTTTTTTTTCTAACCTCTTGGAGAATTTTATTTTATTTATTTTAAAAAATATATATTTTATTGATTTTTTACAGAGGGGAAGAGAGAGGGATAGAGAGTTAGAAACATCGATGAGAGAGAATCATCGACCAGCTGCCTCTTGCACACCCCCTACTAGGGATGTGCCCGCAACCAAGGTACATGCCCTTGACCGGAATCGAACCTGGGACCTTTCAGTCCGCAGGCCGATGCTCTATCCACTGAGCCAAACCGGTTTCAGCCCTCTTGGAGAATTGTAGAGAGGTAAAATATGGTTCTCGGAGTAGAGGCCAGAGGAAGGAACATGTATGCCTGTCATTGTGAGGGATACCAGTGTCATGGGCTTTCCGTTGATATTTGAGGGGTACAGGTGGCCCTGCAGCCCCGGCCCTGCATTGGGCAGCTTTGGGGGAGTCATGGTAATCATACTCCTCACATGGCAGACATCTGAACAACAACTTTACCAGACATCCTGGTCAGCACTTCTCACACATTACTTATGTCATTTAATTCCCCGCAAGCGACCTTTGAAGGAGGCACAGCGATGCTCTCCATTTTGCAAACGAGGAGATGGGCCCAGGAAGCTCATGAGAGTCTGACTAAGACGCAGCCTCTTTCACTTCACTCTCCACCACATCAGTGGGTAACTGAAATCAGCACACCCTTTTCACGGTCACCTTCTCGCAAGAGCTTCATCAAACCCCCTCATACTGATCCGTCACCTGCACATCCTCCTTGCCACACCCAGCCCCTCCCTGCAGTCAGGGTTGTGAGCACCTACATGACTAAGTTTAGGCAGATGCACTTAACAATCTCCTCTGGCACTTTCCAAAGGCCGGTCGAGAGGAGAAACAGCCATGTTTTCTTTTCATTTCCCTGCCGCCCACGTTGTCGTGGCTCACACTGTCAAGCTTTAAGTGAAGATGGTAACCCTGGGACTCCTGTGTGGTTATGGCCAGGAAGGCCTACCGTGAAACTGAATTCATCGAGTCTTCTAAGTGGGGGACTTGGACCATTCTGCAGATTGGAGATCTCCGTTTTTACAGGCTCTTTATTCTAAAGTATATTTTTATTGATTTCAGAGATGAAAGGAGAGGGAGAAAGAGATAGAAATATCAGTGATGTGAATCGTTGATCGGCTGCCTCCTGCACGCCCCCCCCCCCCCCCCCCCCCCCCCCGGGAATTGAGCTGGCAACCTGGCTTGTACCCTTGATCAGAATCATACCCGGACCCTTCAGTCTGGAGGCCGGTGCTCTGACCACTGAGCAACCCGGCTAGGGCTTTACAGGCTATTTAGAAAACTGATGTGGCTGGCAGCTCGCCTACACGGTGACCTCTGGTGGAGGTGCTCTCTGGAGCCTTGAGCCGTGGCAGGCCTTTGTTTCCTGCTGGCTCCAGCAACCACATTTTCTCTGAATATAGATGAGGTCGCTGTTGAGAGGTCACGAGTGCTTAAAATATTTTCTTGCTTTTAGCATCTTTCAGTGGCATCCATGGTCAGTCACTCCTGCCACGTCCCGCTCCCCCGGTTTTTCCCTTAAAAGTTTCATGCATGTCTCTTGCCCTCCATTCAAAGTTCTCTGGGCGAGCGGGGATGGGGCTGCTGTCTGTGTCGGGGAGCTTCTTTGCTTAACTTCCCCATTCCTGTAGATGTTTGCATTCCTCACCCTGAACTTCCGCTGGGAACATGTTCCCAGTACATTCCCTTCTCTCTCACATTGCTCTCCCGCCTTACACTGTTCGGAGTTCGCTCTGCTGGCATTTTCAAAAGGCAGCGAGATTGGAACAGTCGGGGATAGATGCCCCCCCACTTCCCAAGTTATCATCTTTGGCCCGTTCTCAGGGATGTGTTCTGAAATAGCTAAGCCCGTGTTTCGCTGCTGTTCTGTGGTTTTTACTGGGTCCTTCACAGTACACGCCCATGGGTGCTGCAGTTTAACCTAGGTGAGCGCCCTGCTCACAGGGCCCCGCACCTCCCAGCAGCAGCTGAGTGCCCGCTCTTAACCTCCACACTCCAGTTCCT